TGCGGGAGCTCTGTTTCGCGAACTGAAGGGGGGAAAATCGGGTGCCTTCGGGTATAGGGGGAGAAAAGGATTCAATTTAAGTGAGTGGGCCATATCCCAGTGAGGCGTACGCCTCATCAGGAATTGCGCAATTGCGCCTCTGAGGCGCGCCTCAGTCCCAGTGAGGTGTACGCCTCTTACAAAGGTGGAATTGCGTAGGTTCCGAGGCGTTTTTGGGAGGAATTGTGCAGAGGCAGAGGCGCGCCTCTAATTGTGCAATTTTAAACAGAGACACAAAATAGATAAATAATCACACAAAAATATATAAACAAAGCACACAAACAAACCTTATCATACTTATACCTAATTGAAATTAACCTATGTTGCACAGATAAGCCTATTTATGAGGTATGCTATGTCAAACATGTGCCGGATATGGATACGCCTCCAATAGGCATAGATACGTGTCGGATACGGCTTTGCCGTGTCTAATTAAAATATTATTTAAATTTGATCGGACACACTTATCGAATATGCGTGTCCTATTAAAAAAAAATAGAGCCATAATTTGCCCTATTCATTTCGGCTATCCGCTAGATATCCCTATTTATTTATGTGGCTTAAACATTTTGGCGAGCCAGGTTTTTCGTTTCCGCATAGGTGTTCGTCATCTTTGTTATAGTCGAAGGAGAGGCTCGACGACGTGATCATAGAAGCGGATAGGATCATCCTTCGTCGACAAAGAGGCTTGACGACGCGAGCATTAAAGCCAATAGAATCCTTCGTCGATGGAGCGACTCGACAACACGAACAGTGAAGGCGACGTGAGCATTAAAGTTTTGTTTTCTTCGTTCTTCATTTTCTTAATCGTAGGCTCGGTACCACTTAAGTACTCGGTACCGCTCAATACTCGGTACCGCTCGGTACTCGGTACCGCTCGGTACCGCTCGATACTTCTCGGTGCTCGGTTTCGCTCGGTACTGCTCAGTACTGATCTGTACCGGAACTCAGTACCGCTCGGTAGTGCTCGATACAGAGGGGTACCGAATGGTACAAAGTCTTACCGAGAAGGTAGAAAAAACTTTAAATCAACTCTTATAATAAATTTTGTTCTGGGGGGCAGTGCCCCTTTGGACCTTTGGCATAGGCGCAATATATGTACACTTTTAATTAAAAATTTTTATGTTTCAAATTCATGTGGATTAATTTGTGTCGATCCTTCGTAGGATAATGAGCTCTAGTAGTGTAGGAATTGGGTCTATTGATGGTCCGTTAGAGACCAATATTGAAGATAACAAACCTCTATGGGGTTATGTGACAAAAATAGGTAAAACGTCAGAAGAGGGTGACAATATTGCATTCAGTTGCAATTTTTGTAATGACATATACAAATGATCATATTATAGAGTGAAAGCTCATTTGTTGAAGATTAGTGGTCATAGAATTAAAGTGCCCGAATATAAGCTCATCACAAATGGCTGAATTGCAAAGAAAAATCAGTGAAGTTGAGCAAAAGAGTAAAAAAGAGCTTCCAAAATATATTCCACTTCCAAGCAGTCATGCTTCATATCCTTCATCATCTTCTTCGATTAGAAGTGATGACAGTACTGTTAATAAGGGGCTTTTTCAGATGGAGGGATTGAACCAAAAAGAAGAAAATATGTTGTAGATAGTGTTTTGGAGAAAGCATTTAATTTATAAATGTGAGAACAACTAAATGGGGAAATAGCTAGAATGTTTTACTCAGTTAGACTTCCTTTTAACCTAGCAAGGAATTCACATTACAAGAATGTCTTTACCTATACATGTAATAATAATCTTGCAGGATACATGCCACATTGATATAATATCATTAGAACGAAGTTGTTGCAAAGAGAGATTGATAATATTGAGAAGTTGCTCGAGCCTACTAGAGGAGTTTGGAAGGAAAAATGAGTTACTTTAGTTTGTGATGGGTGGACAGATCCATAAAAAAGACCACTTATCAACTTCATAGTTGTAACAGAGAGCTATCCTATGTTTATCAAAGCTGTAAACTTTGAAGGGCAGTACAAAGATAAGTTCTTCATTTTTTATTTAATCAAAGAAGTTATCATGATGGTGGGGCCTTCAAACATCATCCAGGTCATTACTGATAATGCACCTATTTGTAGAGCTGCAGGTCTACTTATAGAGCAAGCCTATCCTCATATTTTCTGGACACCATATTTTGTGCATATGATTAATCTTGCCTTGAAGAACATTTGTGCAGCTAAGAATGCCGAGACAAACGAAATCATCTAATGTCATTGGATAATAGTGATTGATGGAGATGCAGTTGTAATTAGGAATTTTATTATGAATCACTCCATGAGACTCTTTATATTCAATGATTTCTCTAATTTAAAGATGCTTACAGTTTATGAAACTCGATTTGCTTCGGTTATAGTGATGTTGAGAAGATTCAAAAAAATAAAAATATGCTCTTCAAGCTATGGTGATCAATGACAAATGGTCATGTTATATAGAAGATGATGTTGGAAAGGCTAGATATATAAAGGAGAAACTTTTAGATGATTTATGGTGGGATGAGATTGAATACATCATAAATTTCACATATCCAATTTATGAGATATTGAGAGTAGCTGATACTGATAAGTCTTGTTTACATCTCATTTATGAGATGCGGGATTCAATACTTGACAAAGTAAAATAAATTATATATAGACATGAGAGGAAGGCACTTCATGAAGACTCAAGCTTCTGGGATGTTATTTTTGCTATTCTAGAAGATAGGTGGAGCAAAAGTAATACACCTTTATATTGCTTGGCTCACTCACTAAATCCCAGGTAAATTTTAACATTTTTCATTATCAATTCATAATTTATTGTTTAGTAATTTCAATATTTTTTATTATTTCATTTTAATATTTTTTAAAGATATTCAACTAAAGAATGACTTCAAGAGGATCCTCAAAGAGTTTATCCATAGACTGATTTAAAAATTTTAAATATGAGGAAGACATATTTGAAGCGTTATTTTTCAAATGAGGAGAGAAGAAGTGTCAATATTGAGCTTGCTAAATTTTTTGGTTATTTAGAGGACTTTGGTGATCAAGAGTCATTGCATGATAGGTGAAGAATTGATCCGAAAATGTGGTGGATTATACATGGAGCTTTAACACCTCTACTTCAAACAATCGCCATAAAATTGTTTGACCAAGTTTCATCCTCATCTTGCTGTGAAAGAAATTGGAGTACATACTCGTTCATCTAATCAATGAAGGGAAATAAAATTACTCCACAACGAGCTGAAGATTTAGTTTATGTGCATACAAACCTTCGGCTTCTCTTAAGGAAAACTCCAACTTATATGGAAGGAGACAACATGATGTGGGATGTTGCTGGAGATGGATTTGAATCTCTTGAGGATATGAGAATATTAGAAATTGCTAATTTTTCACTTGATGGGTATGAATTAGAAGCTATGATATTTATTCAAGATGATATAGAAACTCAAAGACAAACCACTGAAGAAGCTAATCCTATCATTCCTTCTATTGAATAGTTGAAATTTCATATGCTGGACAATTTATCTTCTTGTTTTTGTTGTTGTACTAGACATTTAAATATTTAATGCTTACTTTTATTTCAAATTTTTTTGTCATTTCAAATATTACATTTTGATTACTTTCTTAATTTTTATGTATTATTTATATATTATAATGACATATCCACGTCGTATCCGTATCTTGTATTTTTAAGAATTGGCGTGTCCCATATCCGTATCGCCTCGTATCCGTATCGCCGTATCCGTATCGGTGCAACATAGGAATTAACAATTGAACCTTTGATGATTTAACATAAGTTTGTTACCTCATCATCTTGCTCATATTCTGATGATTCAGATGCTAAGTCTATCTAAGAGATTTTTTGCTTCTTATCATTTTCCTTTATTGCATTTTTCTTATTTTCTCCATTTTTCTTTTCAGGATAAGTTTTTAAATTTGTGCATTCAAATTTCATATGTTTGGATTTCCTACTCCCAAAGTAAATAACTTCAAAAAAAAACTTAACATTTTTACCATTTTATCTTTGCTCCAGTTTTGTTCACACTTGTGCTTGTGCTTCAGTATACTTTTGGATTGGCATGTTATCTCCTCACTCTCACTACAGGAAAACCCCTTATTACCGGTGGACAAAATCCGCCGGCAAAATTAAAAATACGACGGAAAATATAGTTTCCGTCGCATGTTTCGGTGTATATTTGTCCGCCGGTTTAAGTCGCGTCGATAATTTCTTTCCGGCGCATAATTTGCACCGGAAAGTTCTCCGGCGTAGTTTCCGACGCATTACCGTCGAAAAAATGGATAGTTGTCGACGTTAAAAAACGTCTTAATTCCGGCGCCATATGCGCCGGTAATTAGTGTCGCATTATGCACCGGACCTTACCGGCGGATAAAACGCCGCAAAGTGTGACGTAGAAACCCCCGATTTCGCTTGCGACGTAAAGTATACGCCGGTAAATACCGGCGCATATAGCGCCGGTACATGCGCCGGTAATTTTCGACAGAACAAAGACGTCGATACGTACGCTACAATTCATAGTATCGTCTTTTCCGGCGAAATTCCGGCGCAAAATCAGCCGGAAACCTGTAGCATTGACAAAAAAAAATTTTCCTCCCCAGCCAACAATCAAATTTACACACCTGCAAACTTATACAAATATCAATTCTACAACATTTCAATTGTAACATTACAACATATCAATTTCACCACAGTTTCACAACAGTTTATAACATTAAAAGAAACAGTTCAGTACTAACAATCAACTAAAAACATCACATTAAAAGAAACTGTTCAATAAAACATGTTCACAGAAATAAACAAGTTCATATAAACTAAATTAAACTACTCTGACTCCGTGGACTCCTCCTCAGGTGGAGCTACGTCTTTTCCACTCAGCTGCTCCCTCATCTTGCGCATTTCATCCAACAACTGATTGTGTTGCTGAATACTTGTTTGAACCTGTGCTTGCAGCTGAGCTTGAACCTGTGCTTGCAGCTGAGCTTGCCAATCAGCTTGTGATTTCCTTACTTGTTCTAGCTCAGCTTGAAGGGCACTTATTTGTTGAGCTTGTAAGGACTCATGCGAACTGGATGCGAAGCTGGATGCAGTAGAGGATGTCATCCCCTCGTATGCCTGAGCTTGCGCACCTAAGCCATATACTCTACCATGCTGCATTCCTCCGACGGCCTGCGACCAGATGCGATACTCAGAATACTCCACAGAGCCGCCAGAAGAGCCCTCACCTGATGCGGCATGAGTCTCTCGAAGCCGTGTATAATCCTCCTGTGAAAGTATAATATAAATATATATAGTTAAACTAAAACTTAGAAAATATTAAACATATATAAAAATATACTTACATAGGCTTTTCTTGATCTCTCATCAATCCACTGTTGATCCTCCTATCGCTTATGAGTGCGACTATGCAATTCAACAGGAGTTGGTTCTCTACCAAGCATCGCTTTCTGTTTGAATTAAGAGAATTTTATTAATATAGATTAAAGAACAATTTTAAAAAATATTTAAAATTCATTACCAAACGACGCCTGTGCTCAGTATGTGGAACAGAGCCGCCTGTATGAAGTGAACTACC